GCAGTGCCTCGAATTACTGCGAAAAGCAGTGCTTATCACAGCTCCAGCAGAAGCCTTCCACAGCAGGGGTCCAGGGGGTGGTCTCAGGTCAGTGGGGGCAGACAGCAGCCAGTGGTGACTATTCTGAGTTCTTTTTGTTGTTGTTGTTTTTTAAGATGGACTCTCGCTCTGTTGTCCAGGCTGTAGTGCAGTGGTGGTGTGATCTCGGCTCACTACAATCTCCACTTCCTGGGTTCAAGTGATTCTCCTGCCTCAGCCTACCAAGTAGCTGGGATTACAGGAGTGCGCCACCATGCCCAACTAATTTTTGTTTTTTTTTGTTGTTGGTGGTGGTTTTTTCTGCAGAGGGTGGGGGGATGGAGTCTAAGTCTGTTGCCCAGGCTGCAGTGCAGTGGCACAATTTCAGCTCACTGCAACCTCTGCCTCCCAGGTTCCAGTGATTCTCCTGCCTCAGCCTCTGAGCAGCTGGCTGGGATTACAGCCATATGCCACCACACCCAGCTAATTTTTTTTTTAATTAGTAGTAGAGATGAGGTTTCACCATGTTGGCTAGACTGGTCTCAAACTCCTGACCTCAGGTGGTCCACCTGCCTCAGCCTCCCAAAGTACTGGGATTACAGGTGTGAGCTGCCACACCTGGCCTTAGTCTGAGTTCTCAGAAGCAGGATTGCATCCCATTTGCACACTTTGGGCAGTGAATTCCTGGTGCCATCATAGAACTTTCTGCAGACTAGGTGTTTGGGTGGTCAGAGGGTCAGATTGATTTGGGAGTGGCAGGTGAGGACTCTGGGATAGAAGATGGTCTTTCTGCTTTGGAAGAGAAGCATGGTCCTGTGCTGTGGCTTGGGGAGGAGCTGGCAGTGGGTGGTGGATAGGGGGCCTCGGCTGGGAGGCCGGGCTCCTCTGACTGAGCCAGGGCCACAGTAGCTGCCCAGGCAGGAGGGATTTGTGTTGACGCCAGAGCTCTGGCAGGTGCACATTTGTTAGAAGCAATATTCAGATGCAGGTGCTGCTCCCTCTGGAGCTGCTGCCAGCCAGCGTGGGTGAGTCTCTGGGTGGTGGAAGGCAGGAGTAGCTCCCGGCCTAATGGCAGCTGGAAAAGAAGCTGCAGGAGGATATGGGTTTGTTGTGTAAGAAGTGGAGGCCTGAAACCCTGAAAACTGAGAATCCTGTCCTCAATTTCTGATTGACACTACTGACTAGAGGTAGCTTTTTTAATTACTGGAGGAAGGGCAGTAGTTCATTTAGTTCATGTGGTAGTTCAACTGATGCTCTGTCCCCTTCGTAAAATAAAACAACAAAATTTCTCTCTCCATATCCTAGGCATGAGAGCACCCACCTCTCTCCTGGGATATGTGGAAGGATCACATGGGACAATCAGTGGATATAATAAATGTTTTAAATCCTGTACATACCTTGTAGATGTAAAGTGGTTGTGTCATTTGTGAATTCTCTTGTCCAGGCACCAGTGGGAGGTTAGATAGTGACCTGGAGTTTGTGTTGAGGAAGCAGTAGCCTTTGAATGCCTGCCTTTGTAGCTGTTGCACCTGTGTTAGGCTTACTTTCAACTAAATGGAATTAAGTAATTGATTTTTTCAGTAGCACAAGTGATAACAGAGCCAACCTTTGCTGGCCCGTCGGGGGAGTCTAGCTAGTGACAGGTTGTTTTTGGGAGACACGCCCTTTGTGTCCTCACTTCTGTGTCCCCTCTCTCTGCCGTGCTCTCCATCTCACCTATTCTGCCAGCTGCACTGGCCCCACGGGCACCCAGAGCACGTGCTCTTGGTGAGTCTAGATCCTTCTTCCCTGAGACATTCTTGTACCCCATCCCCTCATCACCTCACTTCCTTCAGGCCTCCAACAAGTCAGGTTATCCTGCATATTTTCTGTAAAACTTTCTGTTAAGCTGGGCACAGTGGCTCACACCTGCCTGTAATCCCAGCACTTTGGGAGGCCAAGGCGGGCAGTTCACGAGATCAGGAGTTCGAAACCAGCCTGGCCAACATAGTGAAACCCTGTCTCTACTTAAAAAAAAAAAAAAAAAACACCAAGAATGGTACATGCCGGTAGTCCCAGCTACTTGGGAGACTTAGGAGAATTGCTTGAACCCAGGAGGTGGAGGTTGCAGGGAGCCTAGTTCATGCCACTGCACTCCAGCTTGGGCATCAGAGTGAGACTTCATCTCAAAAAACAAAAAAACGACAACAAAAAAACAATAACAAAACTTTCTGTTAAATTCTACCTTAATTATTATTTCATTTTAGCCTGCCTCATTTTTCTTTGTGGCACTCATCACTACTTGAAATTGTTGCATATTTATTAATCTATTTTCTGTTTTCTTGATTGGAAACATAAGCTCCCAGGATGGAGACTATTTTGTTTACCACTATATTCTCATCATCTTGAATAGTGCCTGACACATAGTAGCGCCTCAAAAACTGTGCAGCACATTAATAAGTGAATTTAACAAGTAGACATTGTTGATGGTGCTGAGCCAGATCTCTTTTCCTCTCTGAGCTTGGAGCAGAATTGTGCACACAGGCAAGTGTACAGACTTTGATGCCTGGCGCTGCCGTTTTGCAAAAAGAGTTCTCCAACGCACCGTCTTCTTTTTGAATTTTTAAATAAGTCTGGATATTTTAGTCCTAAAAACGATATCACATTTAAAGTTGAAGACCTGATCAGAAATTCTGTCTTCACCATGACTTGCTGTATCTCTGATAAATGCCCTAACCTCCCTGACCCTTGATTTTCTTATCTATATAATGGGGAAAATACTTGTTCTGCCTTCCTGGGGCTTTACATTTATCGTGAAGATCAAAGGAAATGAGCGTCTCCCCCTCCCACAGTGGGTTGGAGCCTGGATTCTTCTGGCAGTTGTCTCCTGGCCAGTATCCTCTGTTGCAAGTTGAGAAATGTGATCTTTGCTTCCTGTTTAACCCTAAAGATCCAGAAGGCGTGGATCCATCAAAGAGAGTTACACAACATTGTCTACCCAGATCCCAATTGAAGAAAATCCACAGGAAGACAAGGCAGGCTCTTTTCATCCTACTCATAATGACTAGTCCATCATTGCCTCAGTAACTTGATCATCAGCCCTGGTAGCAGCTACCCCTCACTGAAGCTGATGAAACAGGGCAGAGAGGAAGTATCCAAGAGAAGAGGGAGGGAGATTTCTCTAAAACAAGACTTAGAATAAGGACATTATTGTCTAGAAGGAAAAAAATAATTGAAAGTTTCTGAAAATTGAGATTTCTTCATCTCAAATGACTTTTTTAGTCCAAAAAAAGTACAAAAATTATTTTCCTCATATAATAGTAATGGTGGGAATCAAAATGAATCAGTAGTTCAGGGATCCAGATGGGAATGCTGCTACACCGCAGTAGAATCCTTCTGGGAACTACACTGGGAAAGGAACAGTCGTAGCAAAAACATCCAGGTAGCAAAAAGGTTCAGAGTTGTGCAGAGCGATCATGTCAGCAGTGATTGCTTTTCAGTTGCCGTCCTTTCCTGCTGATCGTTTTAGGATCACTGTGAGGTCAGCCTGGATGGTCGGAATGGATACCAGTTTTTTCTCACTGCCTACATATGCTTCATCAGCTATAATTTGTCCTGTTTTCCTCCACAGATCTCTGTTTCTTTTTCTTTCATGCCCATAATTTATCATACAGATGTGGTTTTAATGCTTTGCTGATTTGACTTAGCTTCCTTTTTCATTTCATTGATTGGTACGAAAAGATCCACAAGGCTTTCAAGTCCTGATGAGATGAGGTCCAACATCAAGAACTGAAGCAAAGACACTTGTGGTTTCGGAATGTATAATAGAGCTTGATGATTTTCTGTTGAATTTGTTGGGGGAATGCATAATGATAAGGATTATGTGTTTTTCTAATTTAAAAACTTGTTTCTAGAGGCGTAGAAGACAATTCTGATACTCCAATTTTCCATGCAAATCCAGGCATGTTTATAAAAAAAAAAAAAAAAAAAACAAACACCAGTACAAAACAAACAAGATCTGATCTGACCAGGGGGCTCACACCTATAATCTTAGCACTTTGGGAGGCCAAGGCAGGAGGACCCCTTGACTCTAGGAGTTCAAGACCAGCATGGTCAACATAGGGAGAACCTATCTCTTTAAAAAAATAAAATTTAAAAACTTAAAAAAACAGAATAAGATGAGACAAATGTTATCCAGATGTTTCTTGTCTTATTATTGCCACTTCAAGTTCCCATTTATTTTGGCCAGTGAACATTTGATTGACTCACGTATGAAGTTCAGGGGCCATGCACTTTTTATCTCTTTCCCCAATATTAATGCACTTACCCCTGTCTATTTTTCTCTCTCTTTTTTTTTTTTTTTTTTGGTAGGGAAGATAACGCCTGTTGTGTACAGTAGGACCGTGGGTCATTGTGTATGTATAGAAGTGATATGGATCCCTCCCAGACTCATTAGTGACCAGGGCTGCTGGCCCTGTTTGGGTTTCCTAGACTAGAGAAGAAGACAGGAACCAGGATGGGAAGATGGACATGTTACATTTTAAGCTGGAGCTTCCCCTGCAGTCCACGGAGCACATTCTCGGTGTGCAGCTCATCCTGACTTTCTCCTATCAGTTACACGTGAGTCAGTCCGCTGGGAGGCCATCCTCTGTCTTGTGTCTTTTTCATAGACCAGAGCCCTTCTTCTGATTTCTAGTAGACACACACCATAGCAGGCCCTCTTCCCCATGTAGTTTGGGATAGCTTAGGTCAGTTGAATGTTTTTCACTGGAGTCCTATTAATTAATATGGGCTATTAATAGCTCAGAAGGTTCTAGGCAGTGTTTCCTGTATGACTATGCTGGGTATGTGAGGGCCCCTTAGGTTTCAGTCAAGACAGGTGACTGTTACCACCCAGAACCCTTCAGATCTGCCAGCGGTTGGTATTGTTTGTTTTTCTAATGATTTCCGAGGATGTCAACCTTCGTGATGCAGAGCATGGCATTTCTTCAGTCCTCCTTTGCTATCCCTGGATCCCAGTTATATGTGAATGGAGACCTGAGGCTGCAGCAGAAACAGCCGCTGAGCTGTGGTGGCCTAGATGCCCGATACAATGTAAGGGTGCTTCTCATTGTCCAGCCCCTTTGTTTCCGTGTGTTACTGTTCATTGGGTTCTTTGAAGATGGGAATGAAAAGTAGAAATATCATTTCTCTGTGGGTGGCTTTAAAGGGGCCTTCTGAGGAATTCTTGCCATAGTCTTTTCAGATTATGAAGATATACCTGTAGTTACACCTAGAGGAAGAGAGAAAAAATCAGTGTTTGTCAAATAACTAAATTGTTTACTGCTTTTAGGTACATGTGTACACATGCACACACACAAACACATTTTCTCTTCCATACACACACTTGGAGTATGTGTTTCCAAGAGATCATGTGAAATGTTCATGTAAAGTATTTCAGAAATACTACTAGACAGTTTACTCAACCCATAACATAGGCCAGCCCTGAGTGCAGGGGTTTACCTGTATCATCACCTTTAATTATCACAGCAACCTCTGAGCCGCCCGCACTGTCCTTTCCCAGAGCTCCAGTCGCTTGTCCCATCGCTGTCCCCCTTGCCGCCTTCCACCCACCTTGGCCTTTTTGCTGTTTCTCAAACCCAGGAAGCAGCTGCCACCTCAGGGCTTTTGCTCTTGCCATCTCCCCTGCCAGGCATCCGCGTGACTTAGCGGACTAGGCCATTCAGGTCCCTGTTCAGATATCCCTGAGCACAGCCCTTCCCCGAGCTGCCTCTGCAGTAGCAGCCCCTCCCACCATCATCCCTCAGCCAGACTTTCCCTCCTGCCACCTGGCCTACCCAGGACACGTGTTTGTGTGTTTATTTGTTGTCTCCCTCAGCGTTGACAGCAGTGGCATCTCATGTACTGTCACGTCAGTGCCTAGCACCCTGCCTGGCACATGGGAAGCTCACAGAGATGCTTGTTTAAAGAATGAACTCATTTTGCAGAAGACAAAACTGGGGCTTACAGTGATTAATTTTCCCAAAGGCTCAAAGCTTGAAAGTATATCAGAGCCAGAGACCGGGCATGGTGGCTCACGCCTGTAATCCCAGCACTTTGGGAGACCGAGGCGGGCAAATCACCTGAGGTCGGGAGTTTGAGACCAGCCTGACCAACATGGAGAAACACTGTCTCTACTAAAAATAACAAAATTAGCCGGGTGTGGTGGCACATGGCTGTAATCCCACCTACTTGGGAGGCTGAGGCAGGAGAATTGCTTGAACCCGGGAGGTGGAGGTTGCAGTGAGCCGAGATCGCACCATTGCACTCCAGCCTAGGCAACAAGAGCAAAACTCCATGTCAAAAAAAAAGTATAACAGAGCCAGGAACTTTCTATGTCCAGAACTCATGCATCTAATCACTCATTCCTCACCTTTATTTTATCATAATGGGGACCATAGAATTTGGGCTGCCATACTCTGGAAGATGAAAAAGGGAAATTATCAGTCATAAATGACCCTCCCACCTCAGCCTCCAAGGGTACTAGGAATACAGACATGAGCCACTGTACCTAACCCTTTTTAAAATAATTTTATTAATTGTTATGTGTGTGTGTGTGTGTGTGTGAGAGAGAGAGAGAGAGACAGGGTTTCACTCCATCACCCAGGCTGGAGTGCAGTGGCACGATCATGGCTCACTGCAGCCTCAACCTCCCCAGGCCCAGGTGATCCTCCTACCCCCCACTTTTGAGTAGTGAGCTGGGACTACAGGTGCATGCTACCATGCCTGGCTAATTTTTGTACTTTTTGTAGAGAAGGGGTTTTGCCATGTTTCTCAGGCTGCTGTCTTAACTCCTGGTCCCACGTGATCCACTCACCTGGGCCCCCCAACATGCTGGGATTACAGGTGTGAGCCACTGTGCCTGCCGCCACCCCCACTTTTTTATTAAAAAATAGAGTCTCACTCTGTGGCCCAGGCTGGAGTGCAGTGGCCCACCTATGACTCACTGTGCCTCATACTCCTGGGTACAAGCAGTTCTCCCTCCTCAGCCTCCCTAGTAGCTAGGACTGGAGGCACCACAATGCCTAGTTTGTTGGGTTTCTTTTTTTTTTTTTTTTGAGACGGAGTTTCGCTCTTGTTACCCAGGCTGGAGTGCAATGGCGCGATCTCGGCTCACCTCAACCTCCGCCTCCTGGGCTCAGGCAATTCTCCTGCCTCAGCCTCCTGAGTAGCTGGGATTACAGGCACGCGCCACCATGCCCAGCTAATTTTTTGTATTTTTAGTAGAGACGGGGTTTCACCATGTTGACCAGGATGGTCTCGATCTCTTGACCTCGTGATCCACCCGCCTCGGCCTCCCAAAGTGCTGGGATTACAGGCTTGAGCCACCGCGCCTGGCCATGTTGGGGTTTTTTTGGTTTGTTTGATTTGTTTTGTTTTGAGTGGAAATGGGGGTCTTTATGTTCCCTGTGCTGGTCTCGAACTTCTGGCCTCAAGCAATCCTCCTGCCTCAGCCTCCCAAAGTGCAGGGATTACAGGCATGAGCCATGATGTCCAGCCAAGAGAGAGATTTTATAAATAGCTTTAAAATGTATGAAACATTGACACTGACCCCTTATTTCCATCCCCACAGACGGAAGGACAGAGTAAATAAACTTAAATTGTTGCAAATGTTTATTCATCTTTGAAGAGAAGATTATTGACACGGGAATAGGCCACCAAGGCCACGAGGGTGGTCTGTGGGACCAGCCTGGGTGTCAGGAGGGTAGAAGGAGGAGAGGAGGAGACTCCCAGCTGCTCACACCACATCCTCCTCCCGTGTCCCAGGTATCCATGATCAACGGGACCAGCCCCTTTGCCTATGATTATGACCTGACACGTATTGTTGCTGCCTACCAGGAAAGGAACGGTGAGTCCCAGGTAGAGCTCATAACTTTCAAGGTTACTGGGGCAACAGAGACAAACAGAACTGGAGCCCTTGTGATGTAAATGTCAAAACCCATGAATGTTCAACAATGGGAGCAAGTGTGCTGTCTAGGATTTGTCCTTTTCATCCTGATCTTCAGAACCGGGACCGCCCCCACCCCTCCAGCATCCCATGGTCCGTATCTCACTGGCTTGATGGGTTTCCTTTTTTTTTGAGATAGAGTCTTGCTCTGTTGCCCAGCCTGTTGTGCAATGGTGCAATCTTGGCTCACTGCAATCTCAGCCTCCCAGGTTGAAGCGATTCTCCTGCCTCAGCCTCTTGGGTACCTGGGAATTTAGGCATGCGCCACCACGCCCGACTAATTTTTGTATTTTTAGTAGAGACGAGGTTTTACCATCTTGGCTAGGCTGTTCTCAAACTCCTGACCTCGTGATCCACCCACCGTGGCCTCCCAAAGTGGTGGGATTACAGGCGTGAGCTACCTTTTTTAAAAATATAAGCCTAATTGAGTTGTTCCCCATACCACACCTATAACAGATGCCAAAGACAAATTGCTGCTCACACTTTTCAGAGAGAAAACGAGAACATGGGTGACTCTCCCCACGTTAGCAGTCCAGCAGGAGAACAGGAGCGCCCATGCTTCCTACCGGAAAGCACAGTGTCTTCATTCCTTACAGAGCTGTAGGCCATGGCATGTGTTGACTTGGCACATTTGGCTGGCCGGTGGCTGAGGTTTTTTCTAAAGGCATCTACCGTATTACTTGGCAACCAGATATCATGGAGACTACGCACTGACATTTCACAAAGGGGATGACTGCAAATCTACCATTGCTTTCTGATTTTATGTCATACACTAGCTGCAGACAATAAAAAGGGAATTTTAAAACAAAGCTAAAAAGCATGGCTCAAGAAATCGATGTGTTGTTCTTTACTTTTTTCACTCTTTATGTGGATTTTTTAAATATACCTATTACGATAGTATTGAAACACTTCGGCATTCACATTATTTGTATTTCTATGTAATTAAGTATTTCCTCATGCTGCTACAAAGTTCTAATTTTTTTTCCCCTAAACAGACAGAGTCTTGCTCTGATGCTCAGGCTGGAGTGCAGTGCCATAATCATAGCTGATTGTAACCTCGAGCTCCTGTGGGTTCAGTGATCCTCTCACCTCAGCCTACTGGGCTGCTGGGACTACAGGCATGTGCCACCATGCCCAGCTTTTTATGTTTTTTGGTACAGAGAGGGTCTCAATATGTTAGCCAAGCTGGTCTCATACTTCTGGCCTCAAGTGATCCTCCCACTTTGGCCTCCCAGATCCTTTGGATTACAACCCTGCACAACTTTGCCCAGCCAAACTGATATTATTTAGAGTGGCAATATGTTGTTCCTTCAGTTAGCCATTCAACATCTGTAGATGATCACACAACCACTTCTGAGTTTTTGACGTATTTTAATATAAATACTGTATTAGTCCATTCTCACTCTGTTATAAAGACACACCCAAGACTGGGTAATTTATAAAGAGGTGTAATTGACTCACAGTTCTGCATGGCTGAGTAGGCCTCAGGAAACTTACAATCATGGCAGAAGGCACCTCTTCACAGGGCAGCAGGAGAGAGAATGAGAGCAGAGCTAATGGGGGAAGCCCTTTATAAAAGCATCAGATCTCGTGAGAACTCACTATCATGAGAACAGCATGGAGGAAATTGCCCCCATGATTCATTTATCTCCATCTGGTCCTGTCCTTGATATGTGGGGACATATGAGATTTGGGTGGGGACACGGAGCCAGACCATATCAAATATTTTGTTTGAGAAGTATCTTAAATTATTTGTTAATCTACTTTGCACATGCAACTGTTTATGCTTTCAAATGATTTCTTTCTGTTCTGAAGTGCAGAATATCCCACAGGAATAAAAGAATATTTGTAGCCCTCAATATTTTTTGCCAAAAGGCTGCCCCATGATTGATTAATGGTTAATGATTGTATTGCAGTTGCCACCATCCTGAATGACCACAACTTTATCTGGCTGGGTGGGCAGAGCCATGAAACTCCATTTGTGATTAATGCTGTCATCTAATACACGGTGTAAACCATATTATATCCTTTCTGTTAGAGAGGCGGTGGTAGCTCAGTTTCCAAAAAGGGAAGATTCCAAAGTTGTCCCCAGCAGGAACAGCTGTGGGGAGCCTTTGATTGGAAATTGCTACAGCACTGTATTCCGACATAAATGACTGTGTCTGCTCTTTATACGGGGGGAAAATCATTTCCTGTTCATATTTCTTTCTGAGCCATTCTTCTAAGTCAGAATCATCCATATTTATTTCTTAATAATCTTTTATTATTCCTTTCATCCTAAGAGTATTTGAAATATTCTTGCCATTTCCTGTCTGGCCTAAACCTTAGTTTACTTTGACTGATAGCATGTGGCCCTCCACTCCTTAACTGTCCGTACTTATCATCCAGGATTCTGGGAGATGGTAAAGCTCACCTGGGTGCAGTATGTCAGCATCCTGCTTATCTTCCTCTGGTGTTTGAAAGAATCAAGATCTTTGTGACCACAATCCCTGTGACAGCGATGCCCCTGGGAGAAGTGTGGAAGGAGCACCTATCCTAGGAAGGCCATTTCTGAGGACTCAGCAGGACGGTGGCTGCCTCATTGTCTTCTCCTGGGAACATCTTAGGATGTTTCTGAAAGAGCCCAGGGGACACATGCGGGCTTGTGTGCTCTTCCCCTCGGAGACAAAGAACAGTTCTTCCGTTTGCTCTCTACAAGTTCCATATCTTCAGAGCTCCTGCAGAATCATCAGGGAGTAGTTTGTGGAAAGGTCTGAGGGTTCCTGGAGGCTATAATTAGCTTTTTGGGTTTTTCTTCTTTGCCTTAGCGTTGAATTTCAGGAGAAAATTGCAGTCAGTTGAGACATCTTGGAAAGAGTCCCATCTCTGGTCAAGCAGAGACTTTTCCTCTGTTGAGTGAGAAACACACTGTGCATTTCTTCCTTCTACTGTGAGCCACTCTTACTCTTTTCAGGGCTCCCTTGTGACAAACATGCCAATCACTAGCACTTTGCACCCCTGGGCCTCTCCATTTCCCATTCAGAGCTTTGATTTCCAGAGCTGAGGCCTTTCACTGCAGACCTAGAGGGGCAGGGCCCAAGGGGGAGGCCCACCTTGGTACAGGCATGAGGGAGGGCCGCTGAAGGACACTCGGACCGTCCACCTGCCTCGGCCCGAAAGTCAGTCATCTGTCATCAGCTCAGCGGAGCAGCCCTGGATGCCTGCCTGCCTGTGGCTGGCTCTTTGCCCTGTTTTGCCCTCTGTCTGCGCCCCTGGATGGCAGGCTGAAGTCAGAGGGGCTGTTCATTCCCAGCCCCCTCAGCAGCACTGGGGGAAGAAAAGATTGTCACAACAGGTTCTTTCTGGCCCTCACTCAACAGCCTGGGCACTTGGCCCTCCTCCTCCTTGACAGCCCTCCCGCTTCTGGAAAGAACAGGGGTGACAAGAGTTGGTGTTGGGATTGGCTCCCACTGCCTGACAACCACAAGTTTATTTGGAAGGCTAGCGGGAAGCCCAGCGGCTTGTGTTTCCCTTGACTAAGGAAAAGGGTGCTCATTAGAGTGGGGCGGGCAGCTTTGGGAAGGACACAAGAAGCAGTGAGGGAGTAAGGAGGATGCTGGCCCGGGCAGGCCAGTCCAGCCTGGCCACTAGCAGAATGCCAAGCAGTCCAGCTGGATTACCAGGGTGGCTGAGCAAGTGTCTGCGGGAGCAGAGATGGCTGGAAGGGGCCTCTGCACATGGAAGACGGCTTGTTCAGCCTGTTCACCTCCTGAGGACGCGAGCCGTCTCCTCTAAGGACAGATGGAGCTGCTTCCTGATCCCAAGCAGGTCGTTGCCACTGGAAGACATGGCCTCTGTGATTTATGCATCATGCCCACAAACACACCTCTTAGTATGTGCCTCCGTTTACCTTGGAGATCAGCTCTCATCTCCAGCACCGTTTCCTTTAGGCTGACTAAAAACAGTTTTGGAAACAAAGCTATTGTCAAGTATACAAGAAGAGGAATTCCCTAACACTGTCCCCCTAGTCTTTTTTTCATATTCAGACTGTTTTATATGCCTAATTTTTTTTCTTGAGATTTATTTATTTTTATAGATTCGGGTCCTCACTATATTGCCCAGGCCGGTCTTGAACTCCTAGCCTCAAGCAATCCTTCTGTGTCAGCCTCCCAAAGTGTCAAGAATATAGGCATGAGGCAGTGAGACTGGTCTCTTGAGACTGAAACTAAAAAATTGTTGGCGGTTTAAATCCCCGAAAGGTAATGAAACATGGAAAGATGGCTAAAGATATGTATAAACTTTGGTTTGGATTTTATTAAATTATTTGAATGCAAAACTTGTATAAAGAATGCATTACGTTCTGTAGCTTACTAATTAAAATGTTCAACATGGAAGGTTGTATTCGCTTTTTTTGAATCAGGGCTTTGGAGGGAGGAGGAATAGGGAGCGCTGAAGTTGAGCACACTTCTCTGAGTTACTCACCAGCAGCCTTGCTTTGCCAGGGCTCTGCCCCAAGACCTTGGAGCTTTTGTTAGCTCTTTGGCAAAAGTTTCCTGGTCCAACCCCAAGTATATTAGTTTTTAGTGGAATCCACATGGCATATGGAAACCACGGGTTGGAAAATTACAACTACGTCTGGCGAATATCAAATTATTTACAGATCATATGTTGGTAGCTTCTGAAACGGAACCACACAGCATAGTTGCAGGAGAAAGAAAGGTAAGAAATATGCAGGATATTATCAACTGAGCTGTAATCCACAGATAAGTCATATTTGAGATAAATTCCTAATTCTTCCAAATGATTAGTCCAGTTTCTGCCAAGGCAGGTCAGGTGTCTAATGCCCCACTAAGCTCCCATCTTGAAGCTTATTAAAGCAATTCTCTCTGCCTCCCTCTTACCCCATCCCCCACTTCCTCTCCCCATCTCCTTATTCATGCTTTGTAAAGAGGTTTTGGATCTTTCTGGCCAGGTAAGTTCTCAATATCTATTAAGGAAATGTAAATTACATGATCCTAAGTAAAATAATGACTGCCTGCCAATCCCCTACCCAGAGTTATAATGGTGGCCTTCTGGCACACATCTTTCTATCCTGTACACTATTTCTAACTTTTAAAAAATCATGAACAGGCCAGGCATAGTGGCTCAAACCTGTAATCCCAGCACTTTGGGAGGCCAAGGTGGGTGGATAACCTGAGGTCAAAAGTTCGAGACCAGCCTGGACAACATGGTGAAACTCTGTCTCTACTAAAAGTACAAAAAATTAGCTGGACATGGTGGTGGGCACCTGTAATCCCAGCTACTCAGGAGGCTGAGGCAAGAGAATCACTTGAACCCTATAGGCAGAGGTTGCAGTGAGCCGGGATCCCACCGTTACACTCCAGCGTGGGTGACAAGAGCGAGACTCCATCTCAAAAAAAATCACAATCAAAATCATGAACAACACTTATGTGAACCCTTTATATAAATCTGTTTCTGGTTTATTTCCTTAAGATAGACCCCAGAGGCCGGGCGCGGTGGCACAAGCCTGTAATCCCAGCACTTTCGGAGGCCGAGGCGGGTGGATTACGAGGTCAAGAGATCGAGACCATCCTGGTCAACATGGTGAAACCCCGTCTCTACTAAAAATACAAAAAATTAGCTGGGCATGGTGGCACGTGCCTGTAATCCCAGCTACTCAGGAGGCTGAGGCAGGAGAATTGCCTGAACCCAGGAGGCAGAGCTTGCGGTGAGCCGAGATCGCGCCATTGCACTCCAGCCTGGGTAACAAGAGCGAGACTCCGTCTCAAA